CCCCAAAACCCCAAAACCCCAAAACCCCAAAACCCCAGATTAAGTAATAATTATTGAATACCCTTTGTATTTTGCGATTTTCAAGTTTACTTTGTTCCATCATCTTCTTTTTCGACTCCTCTGAAATTGAAGAACCCAAGGGGGTTATTGGTAGCATCAAAGGCCTTTCTACAAAATTCTTGACCCTCTTTACAGAGTTTGTGGAATTCCCTCATTTCATCCTTCTCTTCGAGCTTTTTGAAATCTATGACAAAGGAGTTTAATATTCGAGTAAGTTTCAAGGAGCAAACAAAATGTAATAAATTTTGGAGAAACAGTTAAATTCATACCTTCTTCAAAGAGCTCCTCTTCAGATTCCTCCTCGTCTGTTAATTCATCCTCTTCATCAAAGATAAGGGATTTTTCCTTCAGCTTTTTCTTGAGGGACATTCTTCCCTGAGCTTTTGACATAAGATTTTGTTGTTCGCTTTGGAAGATAAGTTCTGGCCTGCTTCCCTTATACTTCTTAGCTTCAATTTCTTCTTCAGCAGCAGTCTCTGCTTCTAAAGATTGTTGAGAAAAGGTACCTTCAGCAGTCTGCAATTTTCCGATTGGAAGATTTGACATGAGTTCTTCCATAGTACTGTTCTCAAGGAGGGTGTCAATATCTACTTCTCCAAAGCACACTGTTGATTCAAGAACCATCTAGGGATTATTTCTTAGGTTTACCTTGACAGTCGTGAAGTTGTCTTCCTCATCGTCTTCAACATAGCTAAAAATGAAAGTATTTACTTACTCTTCCTGGATTTCGTGCTCAGCTCTTGCTTCTTCGACGATCTTTTTGTTCTCCAAAATTCTTTCTTCTAAGGTTTTGGAGGTATCTGCTTGTGCTGGAGGGGCATCTTCTTTCTCCTCTTCTTCTACTGGAGATACCTTAACTTTGGCGTAAGATTTGAGCTCTTCAGCAATGTTCATAAGCATGATTTTCCCCTATCAATTTAGCATTCAGCAGGCGTACCTTTTGTACATTTTCTGGATCATATTTGTTAACTCTCATATTGAAATTTAGAGAAGGATATTTCTTCAAAAATTGAATGGCTTGCCTCTTCTTGTTCTCAAGATCATGCACAGAAATCATTGTAGTCATCTGGATAGTCTTCCTATTTTTGGGATCTTCCGTTTTAAGTGCGGCTTCTCTTCCAATCTTTTGGAAAAGTCTTTTAACGAGCTCTTTCCTGTAATTCATAATTTTTAAGATAGGAGGACTCAATTTTTGATTCCTGACAACGAGATCAATTCCTAACTCAGATGCCTTATCTCTGGCTTCAGCTAGGGTGACGATACCGAGATGAGTATCATTTTCATCAAAAAGCCTGACCTGGGTGTCCATTGACATATCAATCTCTTCATTATGGAGGTAATACCTAAATTTTACCAGGAAGAACTTACTTAGCTCCAATAATATCACACAAGATTTTTGGTGTTACCTAGAAATCGATATCTTCAAGCCCTCAACATCCAAAAATCCCAAAATTCCCACCAAATGATTACCTTAGTCCCTTTCTGCATGCCCGTAGAGAAGCCAAATCTCGGATTCGATCCCATCCCCATCGCACTATGCTTCAACAAATATGGCTGAGGTCTAAAACAGGTTGTTTTCATCATCCCAAAGTTCCTCCTCTGCGTAGCACACAGCTTATATCAATTAGCAACTCTCTTGGCTAAATTAAGTCTGTACATTCAATCTATATAGACTAGGTTTAGAAATTCATGGACGAAGTAAAAAATTATTTTGAGGTTTAGCCTGAAATTCTTACATATTTGTGATAATAATTAAATATTATATTTTCGATAATTTAGATTATACAGGGGTTTTGGGGTTTTGGGGTTTTGGGGTTTTGGGG